ACCGCCAACCTTTTGGTCAGCAAGCAGTTTAAACCGCTGCGCCACTAGGGGTACTGGAAATCGAACTGTCTAAATTCCCATGTTAAGTTTTTAATTCTCCAATAAGGTGATCAAAGAAGCGACTAATTAAGCTGGTTCAATGTATTTAGTGGGCTACACAAATATATACTGGTATTAATGCAATAAAGAAATTTCACATTGTGCAACCAAGTAACAAAACCTAGTGAATGAAGTTCTGTGAAACCAAATGAAGGATGTGACAAAAAAAAGGATACACACAAGCATAAATGTGGGCATAAATCCTTCAACCAAGAGAACAGCCAAATGGAGAAAAGACACTGGTGAAGCCCCCTATTTCCCGCGCGAAGGCCAGGTTTCCACCCAAGGCCACTGGCCCAGGCGCAGGTCTCCTCAGCCTCGCAGGCCCGGCGGCCATTTTGAAAAGACAATGCCCTCTTCGCGAGCGAGAGCAAAGCTCGCGGCGGGCGGCGGGGGTGCGCGCACGCAGGGCCGGCGCGCGGGCGGCGCCCCCGGGGTGCGCGCACGCAGGCCCGCGTCCCTCCTCCACCCGCCGCCTTCCTGTCGGAGTTATGTAACGGCGCGGCGCGCTCTCGCCGGCGGAGGCCCAATGGGGAGGCGGCGGCCGGGGGAGGGGAGGGCCGTGCGTGCGCGCCCCCGCCGGCCGAGGCGCGGCCCCGCGGCAGTGCGTGCGCGCTCACCCCGCCCCCTCCCCCAGTCTTTCTGCCTCGGCCACCGCGGTCGCCCTTTTTTTTCATCTTTTTCGTGGCGCCGCTCGCGGTGAGGAAGGAGCTCGGAGCGGAACACACCCCGCGGACTCGCCATGGCGGACGAGAAGCCCAAGGTGAGCGGGGCCCGGCTGGGAAGGAGGGGGCGGGCGGCAGGGCGAGGAAGAGGCCGAGGACGGCGTTGGCGGCGGGCCTGGCTCCTCCGCGCCGGGGCTGCGCGCCATTTTCCTCCTTCCCTCCCCTCCCCTCCCGTTGGGAGGAAGGCGCCGCGCGGAGGGAAAGACCTCTCCCCCGGAGGGAAGGGAAGGGAAGGAGAGGGAGAGAGAGCGGGCCAAGCTCCGTGCGTGTGTATGGGTGCTCCATGGATTTCCTTATCCGCCAAGCTCTGGCTGCAAAGGGAAGGGAGCGGGGTCGCCGGCCCCTCGTGTGTTTGGGCGCCATCCGCGCCGGAGGAGGAGGAGGAGGGAGGGAAGAGGGAGGGGAGGAGGAGGAAGAAGAGGGAGGCCTCTTTGTGTGGCTCCCCTCCCGGCCGGCCTCGGCGCTGCTACGGCGGCCCCTTCCTTCTCCTCCTCCTCCTCGGCGCCCTCCTGCTTCCTTTTCCGCTGCTCTCCGAGGCGCCAAACCCGCGTCCCGGCCAAAGGGGCCCCTCTCCGCCCGCTCCTTTCCCCAGGCAGAGCGGCGTTTCTGGCGGCAGGGGGAGGGAGCTCCGCCGCCTCCTCTACACGGGCCCTTTCATGCCGTTTCACACCGGTATAGAAGCTGCGCAGGTCCACCTCGAGACCCGGGTGGTGATTACAGCAACCACGAAGCACTGCATTCAGCATTCAGGGCGTTCTTGCGTTCGCTTTCATGGGAGTTTGGGGGCCTTTCAGACAACCATATAACACAGAGCCCTTCCACACAGACCTAGTATATCCCAGACTATCAAGGCAAAAAATCCCGCATTTTCTAAGTGTGGACTCAGGTAACTCAGGGACCTTCCACACAGCCCTATATTGCAGAATATCAAGGCAGACAATCCCACAATATCTGCTTTGAACTGGGTTATCCCACACTCAGATAATGTGGGATTGCCTGCCTTGATATTCTGGGATATAGGGCAGTGTGGAAGGGCCCCTAGAATATCAAGGCAGACAATCCCACAATATCTGCTTTGAATTGGAATATATGGCAGTGTAGATCAGATAATCAGGGGGCCCTTCCACACAGCCCTATATCTCAGAATATCAAGGCAGAAAATCCCACATTATCCGCTTTGAACTGGGTTATCAAGTCCATACTGCCATATATTCCAATTCAAAGTAGAAAATGTGGGGTTTTGTTTAGCTGTATTGAAGGAGCCTGAGTCCACACTCAAATAATGTGGGATTTTCTGCCTTGATATTCAGGGATATAGGGCTGTGTGGAAGGGCCCTTTGTTGCCTGGCCACCACAGTTTCAAACCACATTAAATGGTCCATGTGGATGCAGGGTCCCACATTGATTTGTGTTGTGTGTAAGGGAGACATTTCTGGGGTCTTTTCCTTGGAGGTCTCTGCATGAATAAAATGATAATGGTAAGAAATGCTTATTTGCTAAGACCCGAAAGGGGTAAAAGGTTCCTAGAAAAATAGTATAAGTGCGGAGTTTCTAACTTAATCTCCATAGGGCCCTTCCAGACAGGTCTTATACCCCAGGATCTGATCCCAGGTTTTCTGCTTTAAACTGGTTTATACAAGTTCACACTGCCTGATAATCTGGGATAAACAGAAAACCTGGGATCAGATGCTGAGATATAGAGCCTGTTTGGAAGGGCTCACAATCAACATGCAAGGTTTTTTTTTACAGTGATTAAAAATAAGACTGTTTTAAAAAATAAATAAACCATCTCCTTAGAACTGGGGGCCCTTCCACACAGTCCTATATCCCAGAATATCATGACAGAAAATCCTACATTATATGAGTGTGGACTCAGATAACCCAGTTCAAAACATATTGTGGGATTGTCAAAAGCTTTAATGGCCGGAATCACTGGGTTGTAGGTTTTTTTCGGGCTATATGGCCATGTTCTAGAGACATTCTTTCCTGATGTTTCGCCTGCATCTATGGCAAGCATCCTCAGAGGTAGTGAGGAATATTTCACCTCACCTCTGAGGATGCTTGCCATAGATGCAGGCGAAACATCAGGAAAGAATGCCTCTAGAACATGGCCATATAGCCCGAAAAAACCTACAACAACCCATATTGTGGGATTTTTGCCTTTATATTCTGGGATATAGGGTTGTGTGGAAGGGCCCTGGCATAGCAGCATCTTCCCCCTCAAGATCTCTGTTGGACTAGTTTTTCCATGCACAAGTGTAGAAATTGTGCCCACGTTTTAAAATGCTCACAATTTAACTCTTTGAGTAAAATTCAACTGCATGCTTGACTTTCCCACTGTGCAGTTACGGCAGTGTAAAAGCGAAAGACTCCTTGGTTCCATATCGTTAACAAGCAGTTGCCCAGTTACATCCGACTTAAAATACTGATAGTTAAGAACCGGGTGGGACAACAGGAAGTGAGAGAAATCTAGAGAGGGAAATTCACTCCTGAAAGAGTTATCATGGGGAAAAGGGGTCGCCACTGAACCTTATCACCAGTTTGTTTCCATAACAATCCACATTTTTCAAAATCGCAGTATCACGGGGACAGAAAGTGAGGTGAAATCTTCTGAACAGGGGCACAGACAACAAAGCAAACACCACAGGGTGTTAACCCTTCCCTAATGCTATCCAAAGTCTCTCTCTCTGTGTATGGCTGGAGTTACACTTACAATGTACCTGTTTCAACTTACATACTAATTCAACCTAAGAACAAACCTACTGAACCTATCTTGTTCATAACTTGGAGACTACATGTACTGACTTTCTAGTAACGACCCTTTTTTAAAAAATCAGTTAAAAGCCACAGGGCTAAATCAGGTGGCAATTTCTTAGTTTTTTCTAAAATGAAAGTGTTTGAAAAGCAATGAATGTTGTTATTCTGTGTGTTAAAGGAGATGACTGAGAGCAACGCTTCAAAGCTGCATACAGTACATTAAATAGACTAGAACAATGACTTCATGCCTGACTTAATTCAAGTAAAATAAGGGAAGCATTAGTAATTGGTATGTTAGAAGCTAAATCTCCCGAGAACAGATACAGCTTTCCTAGGAAGGACAGAATTAACGGTTATACTCGTTACAAATGCATGTTGCAGACTAAGCCCTTGCCTCTTGATTTTTATTGATCCCACCTCTTGATTTCTAGCTGCCCCACAAATTTCATAGGGTTTTTTTAAAAGACAAGTTATACATAGAGATGGTTTTACCAAGTTGTTTCTCTGTAAATTAGCCTGCAGCACTCGGGATTGGTGGATAGTCTTTCATCCAGGGCTCGCTCTGCTTAAATTCCAAGATTAGACATTGGTTTAGGGTAGTGGTTTTCAACCTGTGGGTCCTCAGATGTTTTGGCCTTCAACCCCCAGAAATCCTAACAGCTAGTAAACTGGCTGGGATTTCTGGTAGTTGTAGGCTAAAACACTTGGGGACCCACAGGTTGAGAACCACTGCTTTAGGATATCTAGGCTGAGTCTTTCCCATTAGGATATCTAGGCTTTCCCATTACCTGTAGAGTCTTAACTTCCAGTATAGGATATTAGCTGTACTGGTTAATTTTATTGTATAACTATTAATACAGCATGATATAAATCTACTGGGAAATTAACCTCATTGAGTTCACATAAATGTGCATGTGATTGCAAGCTTAATAAAGTTGGTTAGATGTGGAACTACTGTACTTGTGTTCTGAGAATATTGGATGCCAGTGAAATCAGGTGAATCTATATGCTTTAAAACATGCAACAGAAGCTGTTGTCAGTGCTGCCGTATTGCTGCTTGATAGCAGCTTTGTAGAATTTACTAATCGTTTTCTGGGTCAGAGAATTGTGGAGGTTTGTTCAGAGGTGATCTGAATGTTCAATTTGAGTGCTTATTAGGCAGGATACATTGTCTTTCTAATGATACTATTATTGTCTCTCTTACAGGAAGGAGTGAAGACTGAAAATAATGACCACATTAATCTGAAGGTTGCAGGGCAAGATGGATCTGTGGTGCAGTTTAAGATTAAAAGGCATACACCACTTAGCAAACTAATGAAAGCCTATTGTGAACGACAGGTGAGAAGGATGTGTAAATACTCCAAGAAACTTTGAATAAGGTGTAATTAAAAACTTATTCTGTTATGGCTTTTACAATTCTCAAGATAAATTGACAGGAGACGTATAAAACTAAGGGAACTTATCTATGTTCAGCTTGCTGTGTAACTTGTTTAAAAAACAACTCCTGTATTGCTTTAGAAGAATATACTTGGAAAATGAGGTATTTCTCCTTTTGGAGATACACACCTAGTTGTACTTGCTAAGCACTAATGACTTTAAAAAGTGCACAGTTTCATATTCGGTTTACAGATCTATAAAACTATTATTACTAAGTAAAACAATAAAATGTGAAACACATTTTATATATACATTTTATATACAAATAAGTACAGCTAAACTGTAGAGTTGATCCTCTGTCTTAAGAAGAGATAAATAGTTTAGGGTTGATTTTGCTGGGAATTGCTGTATATGCTTTTGGAAGCATTGTGGAATAAATTCGATTTGCAGTCTGGCAGTCTGTGCTGTGTTTCAAAATATTTTAAAACTAACCATGACATACCCAAGAAAAAGTGGCACTTACCCTGTTGGAAGGTGGGTGTGGCTCTAGTAACAACAGATTTTGGAAAGAAGAAACAGTCGATCCTGGTAGGTTTAAAAATAAAATTGCCCGACTTTATACTTTATTTCCAACCTCACATACTATGATGGTTGAATAGGGATAGCAAGCCTCCAGATATTCAACTCTCCTATTCCTTCACCATTGATTTTGCTTGCTGTGATGTTGTGGAGTGCCATAGGTCCTTGAATTAGACACTAAGCGTGTTAAAGACTTGCTTGGGTAAGCCTAAGATGATAATTTAGCACTAGATGTAGTGAAAATTTGTCAGAGTACAGTGGGTTTTTTTACAGGTTAGTAAATTCTACTTATAAGAGTCGTGTACCAAGGATAAGGGCAAATCAGCCTCAATTTAAGGTGATCTTAGTCCTAGCAGTTTATTTTTAGCTAAGAGTAACCAACAGTTTATACATACCTGACTGCCACTTTGTGGTCTGCAGTAAAGCAAAGACCAGAACATAACAAGAGTAGTCCAGTGTGCTGTACTGGTTGGAGTGTAGGGTGAGAACTAAGGACAGCAGGGGTCAAATCCCAGATGAGCCACCTGAATGGGTGACGTCAGAAAGTCCCACACTCTCAACCTTAAAAGATATCCAGGGGTAGCCATTTATATAATATGATCCAAGCTATTTCAGAGTAAATAAGCATACTTAAGTGGGAACTTGGAAGAGACATTTATGAAAAAATCTTGAAACCTCCTAGTCATATGTTTTTGTTGATTCAAAAGGATTCAGAAGTGAGTATCTAGTATTGTAAGGTACACTGTAGTTGTTTCTGTCTAATTTAAAATGTTGTATATTACTCTTAGAACTGGCTAGGGCTTTAGCTTGCTGTTAATTTTTCTTTTTGTATGTGCCATAGGGTTTGTCAATGAGGCAAATCAGATTCCGGTTTGATGGGCAGCCAATCAATGAAACAGACACGCCTGCACAGGTAATTTTTTTTAACTGAAAAGTACTAAAATGTTTTTGCTGGATGCAGCTAAAAACAAGAGATCGGCCAAGTAATTATGTAATAGTAGACCTTTCTTATACTTCAGTTTTGCAACTAGTTGCTGATTTTGGAGAAAACATAACACAGAAGTATGTAGAGTAATTATTCAGTTTCTTGTCAAAAGAAGCCATTTTATGTTTAGATTTGTATTCCACTTTCTGTTAGTCAGGTCTTTGATTCAGTTCTCAATATTTTAGAATATATTTTAGAATGCAAGTAAATAAATAAATAAATACTGGTTTTTCCTTTCTCTTGTACTGCCTTGCTTCTCCCTATGGGATGCTGGGACTTTTAATAGTATCCCTCCTTAATTGCATGATTTATTTATTTACTTCCTCTACTTGTACCCCGCCCTTTTCACTCCGAAGAGGACTCAGGGCGGCCCCACAACTGGCAGCAATTTGATGCCCAACAAACAAAATCCAAAAATAACAATTACAATTAAAACAGCAATAAAACATAAATTATTAAAACAGCAATTAAAATCATGTAAATTCATGATGATTGCGAGAGATCCACAGTCCTCTATGGTTACATGGTGAGATTCAGTAATACAAAGAATGCACAGCTTGCAACAGTTAACATTGAGTAATCAAAAGTTGTTGGCCTAGATCCAAAGAGGTCTTACACAAAATAAGCTCTCCGGGGGTTTCCCAAATCCAGTGCCCATTCTGTGCTATTCTAGAGAGTGTCTCTGCCTCAAGAGCATCGTTGCAGGGAGAGAGAATGCACGAAAACAACATTCGAACCAGGAAAAACTCATTGCATGGGGTGTAGTTCTTGCCATTAAATCTGACATCCTCTAGAATTCAGTTCTGTAGCAGGAGCCTGCTATCCAGTGTGGCTGGGTGTGTAACGGGTGGTGAACATTTCACACTTCAGAGTAGTTGAACTTCCAACATAGATAATCATGTGTACTGATGGGTGTTGTGGTCAGACAAAACCTGGTGGGTGTCTCATTGACATTCTTTCTTTAGTGTTTTATATCAGAAATTGGGTTATCAGCTTCACTATATTGAAACTTCAAATTGTGCACTGTATGATCTCTCCTTGTGTTAAAATGGTGTAATCTTTGGGTTTTATTGAAGAAAATGAATAATTGTTGGAATTCTGTCATTTTTCATATTCTCAATTTAATTTTAATGTTTTCCTTGCAGTTGGAAATGGAGGATGAAGATACAATTGACGTGTTCCAGCAGCAAACAGGAGGAGCGTACTGAAAGAGAGAACCAAATTTCCTTTCCCACAAACAACACATTCACAATTAGAAGAACGAGACTTGGTTCAGCCACATCTTTGACTACTGCAGTATAGCTTTCTCTCTTCTTTGATTTCTTTTCCTATTCCTTCTATTGTACATAACGTAACTGGTGTATGTGCACAGACATGCATATTTTTTTTAACTAAATGGCCAATGGTATGTTTGATCAACATCATATGGAGATGGGGTGGTAAAAACAAACTGGTCTGTGAAAATATCCCAGATCTCCATTAGTGGCATGCTCCTCTAACTTTTATCTTTATATTCCAGTAAGTTATTTTGCTCTCATTGTTGATAAAACAAAAACCTTGCATACCTTATATGATTGGATAATTTCAATGTTTTTCTTTTATCATTGTACAACCAAGGACGATTTTATAACTTTTTTGTACGTAGCTGTTACATGTAGAGCAAACTGTCTTTAAGTAGGGATAAATTACTCTAAACAAAAATTTGATCTTGGATAGTTTTCCCTTCCGTCTTGTTGTTTAAATAAACTTCTTGTTTAAAATAAACAGCTTATTTTTCTGTACTGTGATAACACCTGGTTTAGGACAGCTGTTGTATCAGATACGGAATCTGCTAGTTGTTTGCTTTTTTCATCAGCTTTCCTACCCAATTATTGTAATGCTGTCTAGACAAGAGGAAAAAGTTACAAGAGCCCTGAAGCTGCCTTATAATTTGGGTGGTGTTTGTTTTTGATGTTTTTTTTTCCTTGCTGGGTTGTCGAATATGTATAACATTTCTTGCACTGAAAAGTGCCGGCCAACAGAATCTCTAATGTAAATGGCTATGTTGCAATGTTTGGTTTGGTTTACTTGCTCAGATATTTGGGATTTCTTTAAATTTAAATTTCTTTCTTTATATTTTTATGTTGAGTTTGGAAAACTAAAATCATATCAGAAATGCAACTAATAAGTTAGGTTGTAAAATAGATTTTAAAAAGGGGATTAGCAGATCTGTTTGAATACTTCGAAATTTTAAAACCTGATGCTAGGGAATGATGTGTGTTAACCCCTTTTCCTGTGTTATTTCCCTGTTCTGAATTTCAACTCACATGGGTCTGGTGAGGGAGGGGAATCTCTCTCTCTCTCTCTCTCTCTCTCTCTCTGTGTGTGTGTGTGTGTATTAATCCAGCCTTGAGAGAAACTGAATCTCATGTGTCTTATCTAGTTTGTTCCATTACCATGGCATCACACAATGTAAACTACAGAATGACAGATTTAGTTTCTGTAAGATGATGTTCCATATAAGAACACAATGTTACCCAAATGAGATGATATATATCCTCATATCATGGATCAGCCTTATGATCCATGATATTTTATTTATTTACAACATTTATATATGACAATGGTAGCATTAATGCTGTCATTGATGCTTGGAAGCATCATTGGAAAGTGAGCAATATATGCTTCTGCCTTCTTAGAGCAGAATTCAACAACGAGAGTACGCTGGCAATGCTGCCCTAGCAAAGGAAAAACCACTCTGGCACTGAGAAAGAGGCGGAGAAAGGGGCGGGGCAAGAGGCGGAGTCTCATGACGTCAGGGACGTGCTGGCACAGTTTGCTCCCGCAGGAGCCTAGTTTGCGACAGGTCTAACTCTTGCCATCAGTCTATTGAACCAAAGCATTTAATGTATTGCTTTCTGGTGGGGTTCATATGATTTCTTTAGGAACAGTGTAAGGTGGTGCAGTTGTCAGTCCAAGCCATAGGGTGCATCTACGCTGCAAAATTAATCCAGTTTGATACCATTAAAACTACCATGATTTAATCTGGAATCCTGTGAGTTGTAAGTTGATGAGAAGAGAAGTTTAAGACCACAGCTCCCACGATTCCACAGCATTGAGCCATGGCAATTAAAGTGGTGTCAAATTGCATTCCTTCCACACTGAAGATGTACCTGTAGACATGGCAGGGGTGAGGTGCCTAGTGGATAGTTGTGACCTGATACTGCTTGTTTGACATGCACAAAACTTTGACTGTTTTAAAGTCTGTTCATTGCATTCAGTGGCTTGAGATGAGCTGGAATGAAAACTGAAGAACCTTTAGTGAAGTAGTATAAAAAGCAGACATGTTAAGTAGGAAACCACTGTCTTAAAGTAATGTTAGATTACATAATGATTTGAAATTTTTGTTGCCCTCGTTGGAATGTAGTAAAATAAGCTGGTCTTGAGAGCTAAGTAGGTTATTCCATGGATGGGAGAACATCAACAAATACAATGTGTTGTGGGTTATAGAGGAAGGCAACAGCAAACTACCTCTTAGTATTCATTGCCTAAGAAAACCCTAAGAAATTCATAGTTATCTCTAGTTGGCAGGCGATTTGAAAGTTCATATGCGTCAAGGTAAGCACATTGCACACCAGAAAGGATTCTGTTCTATTTTTTCATTGAATGAATTTTTAGAGATGTCTAGAATTAATTATGTGTCTTTGAGGAATACCTTACCTGATCCAAAAAATGGGAAAGCTTCAGAAGGATTGTATTTATGTTTCCAAAGTAATGGGGCATCTATCTGAAATCAATCTTGGGTAATTTTTATTGTTTCTATTCATCACTCATAATTGGTTTGGTATAAGGCCAGTTTCTATCATTGTTCCTTTCTTGACAAAAGGGAAATGTGTGCAAGGGACTGAAGCTTTAGCTTTCTCTCTGTCCAACAAACATCTTTTTCAAAGTTAGTTTCGAATTTAGGTGTGTAGGGCATTTGAATGTTTGATTAGAACACATCTATTGTTTCTACTTCCACATCAACAAAACCATAATAAACAGATAGGCATGGAACCAGTGTTCTGTGGTAAATGTATATATGAGAAATAAGTAAATAGGAGGTCAGCTGTCTGATCAGTGAACCTAATGTAGGCTGTTCAAAAATAAATAGTAAATGATCAAGTCCAGAGAAAAATGGGAAAAAAAAAACTGGCATGAAAGAGCATTAAGCAGTGTTTGGGTTGTCTTTGTTGCTGTTTTCATTTTATCCCAAGGGTGTAAGATGCAGTGAATCACATGACAAGAAACAGGAGTAAAGAGTAATAAGAGGGTAATTATCTCAATACCCGGTACATGAAATAACAAGTTTTCGGGGAATGTAGAGTGCGAAGTGTTCTGGCAGGCAATTTCATTTCTTTCCTCCTATTTACTTGTACCAAGACAACCACGACTTCAGATTTAACCATTACTAACTCTTTTTAAAATTGACAGTTATAGAAGAACCCCCCCCCCCCCCCCCCGTTCTTGTGTTGTTTATGATTTATGATGACCCTAATGTGAATCTGACATGGGGTTTTATTGGGAAGATTTCTTTAGACAAGGGTTGGTATTGTCGTTTGCAGAGGCTGAGAGTGGGTTACTTGTCCAAAGCTAAACAGTGTGTTTCATTGCTGAGCAGGGATTAGAACCCTTTTAGTCATGGTTATTCAACTGTCAAACCACTATGCCACGCTGACTGGCTTCTTGCAATATTTCTCACATCGGAGACAAGAAATAGGACTTTTAACACTAAACCTGAGCATCTGTTGAAGATAATCCTTGTCTTATCTGATGCCTCTGTCTAAAATAGTTTTGCAATCTGGTCAGTAATGTTTCTCATTACCTTTTACTAGTTTTAGGTTGAAGGGGAAATACTTCAGCACAGCTTCTAAACAGAAAGAATGGGTGAATGTGCTTCTTTTATTGAGGATCATCCTGTTAGATCCTAAAATAATTTTATCTTAAATTGGGACTATAGTGTCCCTAGGCTTTGTTCTGAGTTAGCAGTTGCATATTGTTTGAAGGCTTCGAACATGCAGGGACATGCAAAATCATAATTGTAGAGTCAAAAGCCTACAGAGATATGCTCACCCATAACAGCTGTTCCTTCTTGGTCTATGCATTCGCCCATGTTGATTCCTTCCCTGTCCTTTGTGGCATTTCTCTACTACAAACACAATGAAGTATTTTTTATTTATTATGCTCTCTTGAGCTTTTAAATCAGAGATAATAAAGCATGTCATTTTTTCAGATGTTGGATCATAATGCCCAGCATTTCTGATTAGCATATGCAGTCTAGCAACTGCATAGCTAATTAGCCACTGATATTCTACAGACTAAATGTAAAACCTATTGTTCAGGGTGACTGAATAACATGAATTATGAAAAATGCACTCCATTTTGATTAATTATTAATTTTGTTTGCATCCTGCCCTTCCTCACATAAACTTATTTAAGCTAATTAATAGCTGATATAGGGTATAGCAGCATTGTTCATTCACCTTTCTTTCCTGAATTTGAACCTATGTTTTGGTTTTTGTTGAAACGGCCAGCTTTTTTCTGCAGCATCACCATATAATAAGGTAACAAAATGAAGTCATGATTATCCAAGCCCTAGTATTTTTTTATATCTTATGTGTAGATTTGAAAACTAATTAATAAAGATAGATTATGGGAGAAAGACTCAATTCTAAGTGATCCTAACAGCTGGTAAAATGGTTGAGATTTCTGGGAGTTGTAGGCCAAAACACCTGGGGATTCACAGGCTGAGAACCACTGGTTTAGAACAACCTACCTCCCAGTGTTGTCGTCCCCCTCCATTAAACACAATATACACAGTTCCCAAATTACAAACAAGATAGGTTCTGTAGGTTTGTTCTTAAGTTGAATTTGTATGCAAGTCTGAATAGGTACATTTCAAGTGTAAATCCAACCATACATGCACAAGGTTTGAATACCATAGGGAAGGGTTAACACCTCTGATGTTCGTTTTGATGTCTGAGCCCTTGTTCAGAAGATTCCACCTAACTTTGTGTTCCTGTGATCATTGGACTCTGAAAAAAATGGCTTGTTATGGAAACAACGATCGATGATAAAACTTCAGTTGGGAGACATCTTTTCCCCTTGATAACTCTTCCATAGAGGTAGATTTCTCACACTTCCTGTTACCTTACTCCTGTTCTTAACTATGACTTGTGTGTAAGTCAGATGTAACTTGGAGAGTATTGCCTTTGTTCCACTGCTGCTCCATTTTTGTTTCCACCTTTTAGACATAGCATGGTTGGTTGTTTTCAGTAATAATTGTGATGCCGCAGTGTATGCTTTGAAAGTTTTCTGCTCTTGAAGTGATACAGATTGAACATCCCTTTGCATTCTAAAATCTTCCAAAATTGCCCACAGGAGAGGCTGTTGCCCACCTTTGTCATATTTCCCTTCAATGTACACAAACTTCATTTCATGCACACGTATGACACCAGGCTGTGTGTACAAAGGGTATATACAACATAAACATATTCAATGTTGGGATTGGGTCAAATCACCCAAGATATTATGTGTGTATATGCATAAAGAGGTATTCCAAAATAAAAAAAATCTGAAACTCAGATTTTTTCTAGTCCCAAACTTTCTGGTTAAGGGATACCTAACTGGAAATGTCTTATTGTGAGAGGGTTCATCTACATTACGAATGCAGTTTGGCCCAACTTCAACAGCTATGGTACAGTACTATAAATTTGAGGTTTGGGGAAAATAAGCTTAGGAACTTA